GATTAGATGGTAAAAGGTGAAAGGTAATTGAGCCAGATTTGCCAAATACCTAAGGCATGCCACAACCCTCCATACAATAAGGCCAATCTGTCCTAAACACACATCAAAGAAACGGCAAAATTCAACGATGACTGGGTCAATAGGAGGCCTAAAACCTAATGTGAAGGGATATGTATACACAAAAGAAAAACCAGCTTTAAAGGAAGTGATCCTTTGATTCTTATTGGAGACCAAGATTGGGATATCAAATTTCCAATGACAGTCTCTACGCACAACAGAAATCAAACCCTCAGTAATCTAGGAAGGGTAAACATCAGCACGATCATGAGAAGTCATGGAAGTGACTTGATTCCTAATCGATTCTTTATCAGAATAGAAGGAAAGTTCAGCAGGGATGATCTCATCAATAGAAGGTTCACGAATTGGTTCACTAGAATCTCTATTACTAGCAGAAAATCTATGTGAAAAAAGACCCTAGTTCTAGAAGATGATGGAGGAGTAGAACTAGGTTGATAAGAAGAACCCCGTACAGAAACTGACCCTAAACTACGCAACCTACCACCTCTCCTACTTCTGGTAGGAGCAAGGGGAAGTTCGTCTACAATGAGAACTTTTCGAGGATCAGGTTTTGAAGACGACATAGTTGTATGGAGAAGTAGAGCATATTGAAGAACAGAACGTAGATAAAGAACACTGAAGAAGCTTTTTTCGTGAAAGTAAAGACAAAGGATATATTTATATGCAGAAGCAACCGTCATGCAAAAAAGCTAATGATGGAAACGTCATTATAAAAATTGTCTCTTCGTGATTGACGTAGCCGCAAAAAAACCCTAGAACCCGCTGAAGAGTTGCAGAGCCAATCGATGACCACCACATGTCACATGCATTAAATGGAAGTGACATGTGACGCATTAGTTTAGAAGAGGGTATAATGGTATGTGAGAAACGGCGGCAAAAATTCCCGTTTTAAATGAGATTATGGAATTAATTATGTATAGGACTATCTGTATTGGAAAAAATAAATATTACACATGGAATTAATTATGTGGATGACATGATGTCATGACCCAATTTCCAATCTAGGTCGCGATGGCGCCCAACACCGAAGTTAGGCAAGCCAAACTTAACCAACTAGTGGGTTCCATTTATGTTACCAAAACATTTCCGACATTTACTTAGATTAAATTTAAAACATTCAGTGATAATAAATAGTTTGGGCAAATTTAAAGCTGAAGTAACCAAATGATGTCATAATTAAGTGATTACATCTCAAAAGGATAGTCTACTAATGTGTGTGCCAAGACCTGGTGTCACACGTATATGGGCATCTAGTAGAATATACAAAAGAATACATCTATCATATTGCCTGAAATAGAATAGACAGTAAAAAATAAAAGAGAGACTCCATCATGCTGTTGAACGGCATAGGAAGTGAGCAGCTCACCGTGGAATCTCGGCCAACTATTAAGAATGCGCACCAGACGGGTAGCCAGATGCATCTGTCTCAGATCCTGTATAATTAAGTACATAAGCGTAGTATGAGTACATAAATAATATGTACCCAGTAAGTATCTAGTCTAACCTCGAAGAAGTAGTGATGAGGGGTCGACTTGACACTTACTAGGGCCAATAATATGATAATATAAGGTTCAATATTTCAATTTACAATTTACATGGATAGAAACAAGTTCAAATAAGAAATAATACTGAAAACCTTCTCTTCAATTAATAAATCTAGGCGTTTACTTCTTTTAAAACAAGTGGTCTTTCAAACAATAAATCATATAGATTATAAGAGGTCCGGTCCCATTATCACACAATTTCCGCCGAGGACGTTCGGCCCNTATATATATATATATATATAATTATCAATCTACTGAGGCGAACGGCCCGCTCCTATGAGAGTAGTGAAAATAATCATCCTGGTCGCGGAATATACTTGCGACGCAGTTACGTATAAATGCAACTCAATTGCTTCTTTAATTCCTTTCAAAATAATTATTTACTTGAAATCCTTGAAAATCATAACCTTCTCAACGAGATTTCAATCAATGTAATTCCATAGTTTATAATCATATAACAATACCCACAAAAGCATGGTGTAAGCCTAGGACTACCGGGACATAACAGGAATAGTAGTCACGCACGGACTCTTGTCACTTCGTGTGCACATGACCCCCCGTCAATCAAATCACGTATTAATTAAGTTTACCTATGGGGAGATTTCCCTCTTACAAGGTTAGAAAAGAGACTTACCTCGCTTCACGATCTACTTTCCGGTCCAAGCTTAAGCCCAAACCCTCAATTTGGTGCCAAGCACTCCAAAACTATCCAAATAGCATAGAAACTAATCCATATATATTTAAAAGTTCATATCCCAACCATTAGAGTGATTCCCTAATCCAAATTACAAGATTCCTAAAATTCATCCCCGGGCCCACGTGCCCGGATTCTGGAAAATTTTTAGGGAAGTTGTTACCCATAACCTAATGATCAAGAATATATGATTTTTACTTCATTCCATAACAAATTTCGTGGTAAAATCTTGTTTTAATCAAAACCCTATGTTTTTACTCAAATCCCATGATTTTTACTAATTTTTGTGTGTTAATCTACCCAAAAATCAAGTATTAGACTCACATTAAGTAGAAATAACTTACCTCACAATGCTAGGTTGAAACACCCTTTTTGAAAGCTCTCAAATCGCCCAAGTGTAGAAGTGAAATGAAATAAATGGCCTAAGTCCCGTATTTAAAAGTTGTGTCTAGGCCTCTGATGTCACAAATGTGACATCAGGTTCGCAAATGCGAAGTCGCAATTGTGACAAAATGATCGCAAATGCGAACTGGGCCTCCCTCTGCCTTGATCGCAAATGCGACAAAAGGGTCGCAAATGTGGACCCTGCTGGGTTCGCAAATGTGGACAAAACATCGTAAATGCGACCATTGCCCCAGCCAGGCTTCATCGCAAATGCGGTGCTTTCTTCGCAAATGCGAGGTTCGCAAATGCGAACATTTTCTCACATTTGCGAGACCGACAACTTTGCCTAGAAACACCAGAAAACTAGGGTGTTTTTCACTCTCAACCCACGTCCGAAACTCACCCGAGCCCTCGAGGATCCATTCCGAATACTCACACAAGTCCAACAACATCGTACAAACTTGATTGAGCAATCAAATCGCCGAAATAACATCTAAAACTACAGATTTAACACCAAAACGCATAAAATCCTTAAGAATATTAAAAATTCCTATTTTTACAACCGGACGTCCGAATCACGTCAAATCAGTCCCGTTTCTCACCAAATTTCACAAACATTACATAAATATTATATTGGACCTATATCGGGCTCTGAAACTAACATACGGGCTCGATACCAACATGGTCAAATATTATTCAATTTCTTTAAATCCTTAGATTTCCAGTTTAACAATTTTTAGCAAAAATTTATTACTCGGGCTAGAAACCTCGGAATTCGATTACGGGTACACGCCCAAGTCCCATATTTTCCTACGGACCCTTCGGGATCGTCAAAATACGAGTCTAAGTCCGTTTATTAGAAATATTGACCGAAGTCAAACTTGACCTTTTTAAGCCAACCTTAAGGGATCAAGTGTTCCGGTTTCCATCTAAACTCTTCCAAATTCCAAACCAACCATCCCCGCAAGTCATAAATCAGTTAAAGCAAGTACAGAAAGTCTTATTTAGGGGAATGAGATTCTAGAAAGCAAAACAACCAGTCGGGTCGTTACACATGGCAAGACATGTAAATAACTAAAAGAGTGACAGTTGGAAAAGAGTATTTAAAAAGACGTGAGTCTTAATAGGTACGAGCAAAACGTCTAAGAGACGAGAAGAAACGGATGCTTGAGTCTCTTTAGTAATTTAAAGAGGCACCAGTGGAATGAACCAAGACAATAAAAAGGACCGGTTCATTAGTCTTCAATTAATGAGCATGGATGATTACAAACGTTATAGAATCTTCACGAAACAGTTATGATTACCAATTATAACATTTAATTAATGTCATTAATGCTCATAATGACTCGATCATAAATGGGAAAAGACGGTGTACTGAGAGATGATTATATAAGGAATAGAAATATCATTTGTATGGACATGTTCTGATTATTATTGGAATACAATCATTTACTTTTGCTTTCTATTGATTATTTTGCTATTTCATATTATAATTTCCTTTCTTATGGCAAGAATATTGATTTTCTTGATTATCAATAACCCGAGTACTTCTAAAAATAGGCTTTGACCGAAATTCCTATTTTTTGGTTAAACAAACACTATAATCCAGGATAAGTAATCTCGAAATTAGTTATACAATGATTTTATCCCAACCAAACGTAGGATAAACTTATCTCAAATTTAATTTTGGAATTAATTTTGAGACTTGGGCATCGGGGCTAAAACTTCATGAACCAACTTCACTCGTTTTTGTATATGTATATATATGTGCGTGCACCGGTGAGGAGGTGTGAGCGACTGGCTGTGGTGGGCACGAGAAGAGGTAGAGGGCGACCTAAGAAGTATTGGGGAGAGGTGATCAGGCAGGACATGGCGTGACTTAGGATTACTGAGGACATGGCCCTTGACAGGGAATTGTGGAGGTCGAGCATTAAGGTTGTAGGTTAGGGGGAAGTTGTGAATATTTCTACGGTGCACCAGAGTGAGACTAGCCAGTTAGGATTTAGTTCTAGGATGCTAGTGGTTATCTACTGATGTAGGGCTTTATCTGCTAGTTATTATTGTACTTTGCATTTATTTCCTATTTCTTATATTGCTGTTATTTTATTATGATTCTATTGATGGTACTAATATATCGTCTCTTGTTGCCTTCTTGAGCCGAGGGTCTCCTGGAAACAACCTCTTTGCCCCTCGAGATAGGGGTAAGGTCTACGTACATATTACCTTCCCAGACCCCACTTGTGGGATTACACTGCGCCGTTGTTGTGTATATATATGTGTGTGTGCTTATGATTGTTTTTGACTTAGAAAGAGAAAGAAACCTTAGTAATTAAAACTTGCGACTTTTCCTAAGGGAAAATAAGAAAAGAAATCATGGCTTCCCAAGTAGAACCAAAGCTTCCCATTATTGAGTTCACTGATGAAAACTTGAGCAGTGGCACAACCTCTTGGATATCAACATCCCAGGAAATCCGACGTGCACTGGAAGAGTATGGCTGCTTTGCGGCAGTGTACAAGAAAGTGTCACCGGAGCTCCGGGAAGCCATGTTCAATCACTGTAAGGAGTTGTTCCAGCTCCCTTTAGAAGCTAAACTCCAAAATACTTCTGATGTTTTGGGGTTTGGATATGGTGGAAATTTCCCTAACATGCCTCTAGCTGAATACTTTGGCATTGAAAATGGTGGCACTCTTGGCTCAACCAAGAATTTCGCTAAGCAGATGTGGCCTAATGGCAACGTCGATAAATTTTGGTAATTATATTACACAATTAGCCGGCCATATATTTAATGCTTACTTTTTTCTAGTCATATACATAAACTATACATTGATTATACACAATTATACACATATAATATATAAATTATGCATATATTATATCTGTGGACGGTTATGTGGGTTAATTCTTCAATTATTTTTACTCCCTCCATTTTACTTTATATTAATTTATATGGGGGGAGGGGGGAGGGGGGTGTATTTGACCGGAGTTTAGAAAGAACAAAAAAAACATTTTGGAATTTGGGGCATACCGAAAATATCCTTAGAGCTGATGTTGTTAAGGAATATGTTATTAAGAATAGAGTTTAAATTACATACAATCAAGGGTCGAGTAAAATATTAAGTATGTATTCGAACGAATATTAAATAATTTTTGCTGAGATCATATATTTATAATAGTAAATTTATTAAATATATATTACGAACTCAGTAACTAAAATGAACTATAAATTTTAAAAAAAAGTTAAAATCCCAAAATTCAAATTCTAATATAATGGTTTAATTATAAGTTTAAAACTAATTGCTAGATCGACTTTGGTAACCTACAAGATGGAATAAGCTCTTTTAGTAAATTCTTTTAATTTTCTTATAGTAAATAATTAATTACTACAGTAGTAATTTTATTGTTGGTTATGTTGTCTTTTTGCTTTTGCAGTGAAGAAACGATTTCATACTCTAAATTAATTGTTGAACTGGACGATGCGGTGATTCAAATGATATTGGGAAGCTATGGCTTAGAGAAATATTATGACCCTCTAAAAAATTCGTATATGTATTTAATGAGATTCATTAAATATCGAAGCCCGAAAATAGATGAAATAAACATAGGTCATCTACCTCATAGAGATAAGTCATTTATGGGGATCATCGACACTAATCAAGTAGGAGGTTTGGAGATGCAAACAAGAGATGGAAATTGGATGACTTTCAATCCCTCCTCTTATAAAACTGTCGTATTCATAGCTGGTGAGCCTTTCACGGTAAGATATTTACTTTATTTATGTCCGACTTATGTTTAATATGACAAAAATAAAAATAAAAATTTGGGTAATTATTTTCAGGAGAAAATTATTTTTTGATGTGATGGAAGTCATTTTTCAAGAGAAACATGACTTTTCTCTGCACTTATGAGCGGGAATCATTTTAGTTAAAACTAACTTATATTGGCAATCCAACAACTATAGGCATTATAATTGAGTTTTTATTGTTCAAAATTTTCATCGAAACACTCTTATTTGCTAATAATATTATTAATCCTTGCTCCCATAATTTCATTTTAAGTGACACGAATTTCGAGTCAGATGCATTTTCTTTGATCGAATTCTATATAAATCTTCCGTAATTGAAACATGCAATAAGATGCTCTACAATGGAGGAAGGTTCTAGAGGAAAGGAAGAAGAAGATTTCTCATTTATGTGTCTCTAACATATAAGTATATTGTTCTTATATAGAACAGTGTTAACTACCCTTTTAACCGACTAATTATAACTTTTTCTAATTACAAATTGACCCCTACAATTTATCTATATCACAACACTCCCCCTCAAGCTGGAGGGTGGAATACATCGAGCTCTCCTAGCTTGTCCAAGAGTAACTTGTGCTGGGCTGCTGCAAGTCCTTTTGTCATTAGATTTGCCATATGTTGCTTTGTGGGAATGTAGTTAGTGGTGACCATTCCTTCCTTGATCTTTTCCCTTAAAAAATGATAGTCGATTTCTATGTGCTTTGTTCTTTCGTGAAAAATCGGATTTGCTGCAATTTGTAATGCTGCCTTACTGTCATAATGTAGATGTATAGGTTCCTTCACTTTGTTTCCCAATTCTTCCAACAGACCCTTCATCCATATGAGCTCTACTATAGCTATTGCCATGCTTCTGTATTCTGCTTCTGCAGAGCTTCTACTAACAGTTTGTTGTTTCTTGGATTTTTAGGACAGTAGAGAATCACCCAGTTTCACCACATAACCTGTCACTGACCTCCTAGTGTTTGGGCAGGTTGCTCAATCTGAGTCACAGTATGCTGTGAGCTCATCACTGGCTTCACCTTTTAGTAAAATTCCCAGACCTGGCCTTCCTTTAACATATTTGACAACCTTTAGAGCTGCTTCCATATGTGACTCTTTAGGATGTTGCATGAACTGGCTCAATACTTGGATAGCAAAGGATATGCCTGGCCTTGTGATTGTCAAATACAATAGCTTGCCAATTAATTTTTGATAGCTGCCTGCTTCCTGCAACTCTGCATCATTGATGTTTCCAGCATGCTTGTCATATTCAACTGTGGTAAGCTTGTGATTTTGTTCCATTAGTGTGGATACTGGCTTGCAAACACTTAGTCCAACTTCTGAGATCAGTTGCAAGGCATATTTTCTCTGATTGAGTAAAATGTTTTTGTTGGATCTCATCACTTCAATTCCCAGAAAGTATCTGAGTTCTCCTAAGTTTTTCATCTTAAAATTGCTGTGTAGAGTCTCCTTTGCTTCCTGAATCAAACTACTATTACTTCCTGATATTAGAAAATCATCCACATATACCAATACAATAACAATATTTGCCTTATCCCTTTTGGTGAATAGTGAATAATCATAGGGGCTTTGAGTGAAACCAGCTTGTAATAGTGCATGTGTTAACTTGATGTTCCATTGCCTCAAGGCTTGCTTGAGGCCACGGAGGAATTTAAGCAGTCTACATACTTTAGACTCTCCCTGACTGTGAAATCCCTGAGGTAGCTACATGTAGACTTCTTCACATAGGCCCCCTTGTAGGAATGCATTATTGACATCCATTTGAAAAAGAGGCCAGCCTTTAGATGCTGCAACAACAATGACAATTCAGACAGTCGCCATTTTAGCAACAGGAGAAAAGGTTTCATGATAATCTAAGCCTTCCTATTATGTGTATCCATTGGCTACCATTCGATCTTTAAACCTTTCAACCTCACTATTGGCTTTATACTTGATTTTGTACACCCATTTGGATCCAATGTCCTGTTTATTTGGTGGAAGATTGACAATCTTCCATGTATGATTATTTTCTAAAGCTTTAATTTCCTGTTGCATAGCAAGTACTTAGTCTGGATCTGCTGATGCTTCCTTGTATGAAGTAGGCTCCACTGAAGTAGAAAAAGCTTGAAAATATGTCTGATATGCAGTTGAAAGTTGAGTATAAGATAGATGATTGGACATAGGATATATCTATGGCTTGGTAGTTTAGTGGTGACCTAGTCTTTGAGCCAGAGTGGTTGCTTGGTTTGTCTGTGAGGTTTGGTGTTTTCAACAATTGGAGCTGGTGGAGGTATGGTAGTATGGGAAGGTGAGTTGATCAACATGTCATTTTGGGGAGCTGGTTCCTCCACCTGGGAAGCTGGTTCCTCCACTTGTTGAAAAGCATTTTGGCCTTCACTAACAGCAACATTCTCAGAACCTTCTAATGTTACTTCAGGCTCTGTCAAGATGGGTGTAAAAGTGGCTTTCTCATCTTGTGAGGTAGATGGTGTATGCCGGGAAGGTGGATTGAGATCAAAAACAGGCTCAACAGATGTTGAAAACAATGTTTCTTCATCATGGTTGTTACAAGTCTGTTTGAAAGGGAAAATATACTTCTGAAACTTGACATCCCTGCTAACAAAGACCACATGAGTATCAAGATCATATAGTCTATAACTTTTTTGTGTCTCAGAATATCCAATGAACAATTCTCTCTTTGCTCTGGGAGAAAACTTGTCTCCTTTAGGAAGACTGCAAGCAAAACTTTGACATCCAAACACTCTCAAATGATCTAAGATAGCTAGCTTCCCATAGAGCATAACATATGGTGTCCTACCTTACAGCACTGGTGTTGGGAGTCTATTGATTAAGTATACAGTAGTCCTAACTCATTCACCCCAGAATTTCAAAGGTACTCCATTGTGGAATTTCAGTGCCCTAACAATATCTAGAATGTGCCTATGTTTTCTCTCAACTATGCCATTTTGTTAAGGAGTATATGGGCAACTACTTCATGTATGATACCATTTTCAGCCAACAATTCATTACACTTGGCATTGAAAAATTTTGTACCATTATATGATCTCAGGGTCTTGGTTCCAATGTCAAATTGTGTCTTTATTATTGCAATAAAATTCTTCAATACAACACACACTTCACACTTAGATTGTATCAAGCATACCCATGTGTATCTAGTAAAATAATCAACCATAGTCACAAAGTAATACTTTCTATCATAAGTAGGTGTCTTGTAAGGACCCCATACATCTAAATGAACCAGCTGGAAAACTACTTTAGACTTGGTTACACTGTTAGAAAACTACAATCTACTCTGTTTAGCTAGAGGACAAACACTACAATTTCTTGATTGTCCTGCACATATCTTGTCTTGTAGAGATGATATATGTTGTATAGAATTCCATGATGCATGCCTCAGTCTGTAGTGCCAAAGTTGTATTTGCTCTTCTTTTATTACTGCTCCTATTGTTATGACTGCTGCTTGTGCATATTCCTTTAGTATGTATAGAGCATCAGATTCTCTATCAATCTCCAATACCTTGCCACTGTAAAGTCCCTGCAACACACAAAAATCAGGGAAGAACTTCACTGTGCAAGTGAGGTCTCTAGTGAGTTTGCTATTGACAGCAAATTAAACTTGAAATCTGGCACATGCAGTACATCCTTTATACTTTGCCTCCTAAAATAGTAGCATTTCCAGTATGCATTATCTCTGCCTTATTTCATGTTGGCAATTGAACTCTCTGTCCTCCAAATTGTCTTATATCACTCATTATATTCTTATCATGAGCAATATGATGAGTTACCCCAGAGTCTACTATCCAACTAGTTAGAGGAATATTGGACAGTAAAATCATAATACCTGTCATGTTTGTGGAGCATTCTTCACCTCCTTTCTTGTTCAGAAGCCCTATAAGCTGCCGATACAGTTCCTCAGTGAGGAAATGGCCTTGTGACTGAGTGTTTGTCCCTCCTGTTTCTTCAGTTCTTGTAGCATTGGCAAAAGATCTATTTCCTCCTAGCTGAGGTTTCTTTTTGCTTTTAAAGTCAGCTGGATAGCCAACAATTTTGTAACAGTTCTACTTCAAATGTCCATTGTAGCCACAATGCTCACAAATCAGTCCAAACTTCTTAGGCTTAAAAACATGTCCCTTTCATGCAAGCATAGTTAATGGATCTCTATTTGTGTCAACTACACCTAGTGTACGTTGACTCTTCTCCTGTGTCACTATGACATAAGCTTCTTTTACAGTCACAACTGGTCTTTTGAGAAGAACATTGCTTCTTACATTGCTGTAGCTCTCATTTTGGCCCATGAGAAATGTCAAAAGTCTCTAATTTCTCAGATGTTCTACTGAAGACCTTGATTCTTCACAATCACATGAATGCAGAGGTACCACTACATCTAATTCACTCCATAGATCTGACATCTTTGTATAGTAAGTAGTCATAGAATCAGTGCCTTGTTTAAGGCTAGCAATCTCTGACCTGAGATGATATATTCTAGTCAAACTACATCTATCAAATTTCTCCTTAAAATCACTCCATACTTTCCTAGCACTAGGTGCAAAAACTATGCTTGGCATCAATTCATTAGAGACTGTGCTTCCTATCCACGATAGTACAATCGCATCATATTTTTTCCATTGTGCTACTAATTCTCCTCTATATGAACTTTTAACATATGTTCCATCTACAAATTTAAGCTTGCCTTTTCCCATAAGTGCTAGTTTCATTGTCCTACTCCATAGAGCATAATTCTCTGGCCCTGTGAGTTTAATTGGAACTAAAACTAGATCTGGTGCATCTGCTGCTTGAAGAATAGAGGATGATTATGTTCGAGTGAGGTTACCTCATTTCCTGCCATGGCGATCTAAAATTCTGCTTCGTCTCCGGTGAATTTCTTCAACCTTCAGCTGACTCGTCCGAACCTCTCGTCGGAGCTAACATCCTCAGTCTCACTGCTTTGATACTATGTCAATTTACACAAATTCTATGTAAATCTTCAGTAGTTGAAACATGCAATGAGATGCTCTACAATGGAGGAAGGTTCTAGAAGAAAGGAAGAAGAAGATTTTTCATTTCTGTGTCTCTAACATATGAGTACATTGTTCTTATATAGAACAGTGTTAACTACCTTTTTAACCGACTAATTATAACTTTTTCTAATTACAAATTGATCCCTACAATTTATCTATATCACAACATAGAGAGAGAAAGAGATATTTAATGTATAATATCTTTATACAACAACAACATACCCAGTAAGTATAATATCTTTATACATTAAATATAAAGATATTTTTGTTTTTCTACGGAATCCTTATTTTCACTCTATATTTTGCCGCTAGATTGTTTGGTTGGGTGGCGGTTGCTTTCATCATGGATTTCCTTGGAAATTGTACAATTTTCCATTCTTTATTAGATGGAGCGGGTAGCTTCAAAGAATGAATGTCTGTAGGGTTTTGAGTTTGGGACTGGTTCAACGGAGATAATTCTGGGGGAGAGTTTTGTTGGAGTTTGTAAGAATATGCCCTTTGGTTATGGCAAGTCGACCACAGTTAATGCAGAGCATGTTTAATCCTTCGTAAAGGATAGTTTGCTTATGGGATACCTATAAAGAGGTGAGTTTTTAACGGTTGATCTAAAGGTACCTCAACACAGAGCCTTGCATATCTTCCTCGTGTTGTTGTAGAGGTGCATGTATCAACTGTAAGTAATTTTTCTATTTTATTTCCTAGTTTTCTCAGTATCTCAAGGTCATAAAATTCTATAGGTAATTCTTGGGGACGCAACCATATGGCGGAGTATGTGATTTTTCGTTTCGGAAGCCATAAATTTTGGTTCTCATTGACGGACGGAGAGAATATGGTTTAAAACAAACCAAGGTCCATCCTGCAAAGCATGAAGCTTGTTTTCCTCCTTTTGGAATTTGAGAAGGAAAAAATCAGATCCTAGATCTATTAGTGGAAGATTTTCAATCGGTTTCCATTGTGCATAAATTTTTTGGCGAAGAAATTGGTGTCCAACCTTTCGACTAAAAACCTTGATAATAACTGCATGTTTCCATGGAGCATAAAGTCTATTTTTTTTTTCTTCAAGTGATAGTGGAATGAAATTTAAAGGGTCAGTAGATGCCTCCGTTTCATCTAGGATATCGAGGCTAGGGTTTAGTGAGTAAGTTTGATTGGTATGGGAAAGTGTACTATTGTGAGAGAGAAGTATGGTAAGGTATGATTTATTGGTGAAATTTTCTGGTTGTGTTTGAGAATCAGGGGAATCTATGTTCATGGTGGTGGTGTTGAAGATGAAGATTCATATGGTCGAGGGTTCATAGTAAAGAGAGTTTTCTTAGATGTTTTTTTTTAGGAAAAAAGAACCTTATTTTGTTGCCGCCAGATTGTACTTGCAAAACCCAACCATTATTTTGCCCATCTCCACCACCGCAGCAACTTATCAACTTTCTTTATTATCTTTTCCTCTTCTTCCACCATATCCCCATACTATCCATCTAATCAAACAAAATTTCCACTCTTTGCCAACATTAATTTTCTTCCATTAAACTCTTTTATTAGAAGTAGACCCTTATGTATTACTAAATTGAGATACACTTATTAGGGGTATTTTCGAGAAATTACTTATGCATACAATGCTAACCTACTATAATTATTTAGCAGGTTAGCAAAATTATATATATATATATATATA